ATCCTCCTCCGAGCAAAACTGACAAATCCAGTCCCTTTGACGAACAGCATAAAACCACAGGGCAAGTCGAGCTGAGCATCAACTCCAAATGTGAATTTCCTAATTGCTCCCAGGAACAATAACATAATTGCTTACATACTGAGGGAAGCGTCTTCCCGGGTCATGCTGCGAGGAAAAGCCTCCTGAGGAGCATCCCAGCCGCACACGGGACAGGCTGTGCGCCAACAGCCACCACGAAGCTGCCAACAGCCAGCTGCAGAGACCATTTTCTCAAATACCAAAAGTAAAGAGCCAAAAAGGAGCTGATTATGTGGGAAAAAAAATATATCCTTCTACCTTCTGAATTTTATGTCAGGTGTTCCTTTAAAGCAAAATGCTTTAGGCGCAACACTTTCAGCCAAGCTGGAATTTTCTGATTCTTACTATCACTTCAGGGCTTCTCCAATTTCATCTCACTAGAAAAAGATTCATTCTGAAATATTCTAAAGGACTGCTGTAAAAACCAGTGCGCCATCGTAGGTCTCCGCAGTGTTTAGCCTGAGCGGGTGAGTTGGCTACTCTCTCCACCTCAAACACGAAGCCATTTCCTCACGAGGGCAGGTGAGAAAAGGCCGCACTGACCACGCAGTTAGCTGCTGTCCCCAGAACCCATTTCTGCAAAGACCAAAGGAAACAGCAGGTTATTGCTACACCAGCTCCATTTCTTCAGCTGTGATTTCATCAGTAGGTCTGTAAAATGATATTCGGTGCGTGTATTTTTAGATAAGCTCATTAGTCTCCTCCTGGTATTAAACTGGACCTCGTTACAGCATTGCTCAGAACCTCAGAGATGGGACGCACTTCTCTTTGGTCTCCAGCTCCTGACAGTACAATTTAGGGATTTTTCCATAAACTCCCAGTACACAACTGGCATCACAGAACAGCTTTCAAAACTGAGGGACATTAGTGCTGAGCAGTAACTCACAGGCCTCGTCCTCCGCCCGCTGGGGGCAGCTGACAAAGCACATGTTCCCCACACAGCCGTGGTGTACCCTTCTCCCCACAAACGGCAGGACCAGGAACAGCCCCCACCATGGCCAACATTTCTTGCAAAAGGATCCCTGTAACACTTTATGAACCATTGACCTCCCTTTCCACTCACAAACCTTCATGACCTGGACAAGCATGAGAACAGGGTCTTCCTAGGGAGTAGGAGGAGAGACGCTGTGCTCAACCGCAGCCAGGACAGTGAGGACCTCTGTGCTTGAGAAAGCACTCAAACCCTTCTGGGCCACACTCCCTCACCAAGGACCCTTCCAGCTCCACAACTACGGCCACTGCTGCAGGAGAGACACGCACCCCTGACCTGTTAGACTTCCTCTACAGGAACTGCTAAAAAACGTTCCATGACGTGTGACTAAAGACAGTCGCTACTGTGGACTGACTGAACTTTGTCCCCCAAAGTCCAGCTATTAGAAGCTTAATCCCGACCGTGACAGTGTTAAGATGGTGGGAAATTCTATTACAGTCATTGAAAGGCGGGGCCTTGAAGAGGTGATTAGACTGTGAGGACTGTGCCCTAGTGAATGGGTGAATCCAGTGATGGTTAATGGTGGTCATGGGCGTGGTTGAGGGCTTCAAAGGAGGACTGAACAGTCATTGAAAGGCGGGGCCTTGAAGAGGTGATTAGACTGTGAGGACTGTGCCCTAGTGAATGGATGAATCCAGTGATGGTTAATGGTGGTCATGGGCGTGGTTGAGGGCTTCAAAGGAGGACTGAAGATGTCAGCCTCTCTGCTCCACCATTCTTGCCATGTGACTCCATGCACTGCTGCAGTCACCTCACCAGATGTGTTCCCTGAACTGTGAACTTTCCCAGCCTCCAAACTGTAATCAATAAATAGTTTCTTTACTAATTACCCAGTCTCAGGTATTTGTTATGAACAACAGAAACAGACTAACACAGTCACTGAGCCCCAGCAGCATCAGCATTGGGAACCTCACAAGGCCCTGGGTCTAAGCCGCACTGTGTCCGAGAACAGGATTAAAGGACATCCTCTGTGGGCAATGATGGGAGACCCCTAGTTAGTTTCAATGACTGTTTGGAAACTCTACCCAGCTATACAGACCCCTCCCCTCAGTGTGTGCAAATGTATGCAGGGGCTGCATCCTGGTCTGTCACAGACTGGGGGGACACTGCTGTCACTGTGTCAGGTAGGCCATATATCAAGACGGACAGTCCTCACCACAAGGACACTTGTGCCCCAAATGCCAGTAAAAGCCGATAATTCTCCTACGTTGGAGTTCTGGAAGTAACCCAAACACTGCTGCTCAGGGTCACTGTGTGGTCTCTGCAGCCTCTGCTGCATGGGCTGTGCTAGCCCACCCTTGCTCTCCGCTTCTCCTCCTACACATGGAGTATGAAGAAAAACATTCCACTTGGATATTTTACCTGGAGGATTTACCAATTAAATTCAAATACATTTTAAAGGCAAAACCAAGATTCTGATCGCCAGTCAAGGACCGCACCCTTCCCGTCTCTGCGTCCCTGGCCAGCCCTGCCCAAGGCTGCACTGCAAGCGAGCCATCAGTTGCCTCAGTTTCCTCTGCACCCATATTCCCACTCAGTGTGACGACGACGACAGGCAGGAAGGACAAAAACTCGCTCACTCCACAAGCAGCCACTCCTGGTACCCTGCTAGAGTTTTCAGTGCACTCAGTAACAACTACGGCTGAAGAGAAAGAAGAATTTTTAAGTCAAATGTTAGCTACTAATCACCAAGGAAATACTGTTACTTTCATAAACGGCTGGAAAACATATTTGTTTTTTATACAAAGGAATTACAGTGCTATATCCACACATCTTTAGTGTTAGCTACTAATCACCAAGGAAATACTGTTACTTTCATAAATGGCTGGAAAACATATTTGTTTTTTATACAAAGGAATTACAGTGCTATATCCACACATCTTTATTTAAAAAGTACACAAATATTTGTTTTAGAAACAGAAAAACAAATATAAGCTTTATAGTCAAAGCCAGAGCCCACACAAATTCCAGCTGACACCTACCCCAGGCCTCTCCAAATCATACACCCACCCCCCATGCTCCTCCTCAACCTTCGGAATTCAAACCGCCCTTCTCTGGGCCACCCCCAATGCGTCTGCTCAGCGGCGTGGGCAGAAACTTCCCCAGCACAGGTCAGACCACGGCTGCTGCGGTGAGCACCGGCCCGCCTGGAACACAGGCACCCAGGAAAAGTTAAGTCAATGCAGGTGGGAACAGAACAGAGTGCCTTGATGGTTACTTCGGCTGTTCCTGCCTTGCCGCCACCAGCTTTCTAAACTCAGACGTGTCTACAATAGGATGGGTGCAAAGTTCCAAGTCCTCCACAGAGGGCCCCTTAGCAAGAAGACGCCAATCAGGAAGCTGGCCTACAAGAGCCCTCTGCCCCAGACCCCTCGCACAGCACAGTGAGGTTCAGCCTCTCCCAGTGGGTATTCACGGGACACCTAAGGTTTCAACTGAAGCACTACTACTTTAAAAACTTAACTGCGCTCTATTTTCCCCTCCAGCACTGCTGCCGGTCATCTTTCCAAAACTCAAATGTCACACCCCTACTTAAAAAAAAATGAGTTAGCCAGAGAAAAGGTCAGATTGCTTGACGTGGCGACCAACTCCACGTCCACCCTGACCCAGCTGCCGACTTCTCCCAGCCTGCAGGACAGGGGAGCTGCTTGCCTCTGCCTCTCCTGGGTCTGAAGCACCGCCCTGCTCCTCACAGCGTCAGCCCCCAACCCCATCGCAACCCTGCTGCACTGCCACGGGTGATCCAAAACCAGCTCCCCACCACTGCACCAGCCGGCGTTTAGGAGGCACTGCATCTGGGAGGTGACCATGTTAGAGGGGTGTTCACAATCCTCCTCCTGCAGCCAGATGTCAGAGCCCCGCTGACCCTCACGCCATGTGCGGCACAACGTGGAATCGAAGGGGCCTTGGAGAAGTCTGTAAGCGCGTTTAACAATGTGAACAGCAGCTCTGTTCCCTGAAACTGCACAACACCAGAAAGGTGCTCTGACAGAGGCAACTGGGGTCCAGCACCGCCGTTTTTAAGAGAATTTAGGGGATCTAGCTGCTTATGGAGCACATGCCACGTGCGCACACAAGAAAACAGGGCTTGGCCATCGGCAAACATGATTAGAGATGGTGAAAGCAACATAACATCATGGACAGATTATGACTTCAACATGAAAAAGCCACACAGGGTCCACCCTACAGTGAGCACAAGCGACTGAAGAGAGGACTGCCTTTGGCCGCGCATGGACACTGGAGGCCTTCTGGAAGGCTGTCAGAGGTCACTAAAACCTCGGAACTGACAGAAAGGGCTTGACACATGTTTACTAAATCTGTCTGCATTTCAGGCAGGTGCAGCAAGTGTGGCCTTTGTTTCCAACCGCTCTGCACAAAAGTAAGCAAATAAAAAGCCTCCTTTTGGTAATGTTTTCAGAACAATACGTTCTAAGAAACACTAAAGGGCACGGCTGGTGTTTAAGTGAGTTTAACAAGAAGCCCCAACTGCACTAAAGAATCACATGGCCAATAACACAGACTATACAGGTTTTGGACCTAAAAGCCTATTCTGCACTCGAGTTTAAGAAAATATTATTCAGAATATGTTATGGTTTGACAAATAAGTAGCAAACTAAGCTACCTACCATGTTCCACTACGTTTTATTAATCATCAGATCTCACCCTTCTAAGAAATAAGCAGCCAAAGCAGGTGCTTAGCCCTTGGTCCATCAAAGCTGAGTTAACTTCCCGCACGGAAGCCCAGAGGGGAACCCGCAGCACCGGGGCTGTTCTGGAAATTACAAATCCCGCACAGTCCGCAAAGACGCGTCCGGGAGGCGTCCCCGCAGCCGCATGTGGGTGCTCGTGCACCTGCACCTGCGCCCGCCCCGCTGCCCGCCGCGCCCGCGCCGGGACCAAGGCAGGAGGCGCCCCCCGCGGGCGCACTCACATCTTTTGCCATGTTACCAGGTCCGGGAGGTCGGTGCTGTCAACGTTCGCCCTCCAGAGAAGAAAGACGACTTTTCCTCTGAGAAGAAAGAAAAACACGGGAAATGAGAGACCGAAAACAGAGGCCGAAGGGACGCCACACCTCAAGAAACGCCGCCTTCCCAAACGCACCCTCGGTCCTCACAGCGCGACGGCCCTTGGGGCAGCGCGCGGCCGGCGCCCGTCTCGGGGTCGGTGCCCCGTCCCCAGCCCCGAAACCGGCCGCGGCTCCGACCCCGGCGCCCGAGC